AAAAAAAAAAAAAAAAAAAAAAGTTGCTTGGGGGGCGTGGGGAGAGGATAAATCAGGAGGATGGGATTAACATACACACACTACTATATGTAATATAGATAACCAACAAGGACCTACTGTATAGCACAGGGAGCTATACTCAATATTTTGTAATAACCTAGAAGGGAAAAGAATCTGAAAAAGATATCTATATATACATGTATAACTGAATTAATGTGCTGCACACGTGAAACACGATATTGTAAGTCAACTATACTTCAATTTTTAAAAAATCAGCCCAAAATAAATAAAGTCAACTGCTCTTTTATGTTGTAAAATATTATAAGGAAACGGGAGTTAGCAAATAATACTACGTTTACAATTGCAATAAAAATAAGTAGTCTAGGCTGGAGATGAAAGGCAAGGGAACAAATGCGTAGGTAAATGCATAATCATAAAATGTTCGAAAAATTGACACCTAAGTATTTTAAATATTTCATCTCTATATAGATGTATGCAATCACTGAATATAAACCTACTTATAATACCACTAGTTCACGCATTTAAAATAATTTGTAAATCTATATTCCATGAAATAAAGTGAAAGAGAAAATCATAGTACCATTTACACAATTTATCTGAATTATGAATATTAAGGACATAATATAAACGCCTAAAACTGAAATACACCAGAATTTTATAAGCATTGTCCTTTGGGAACAGAACTCACGGTGACAGAGATGTTATTTTACTGGTTTTAGACAGAATCTGAAAAGAAATATCCAAGAGGAATGTGCAGGAGTCTGGTAGGACAAAGGATAAAAGCTGCATCTTAAATATCGTAAAACATACTGCTATTAGATATTCATCTGGTGGATCTCTGGATCATTCACCTCGCCAAAAACCTTCATGTCTGAGAGCTTAAGAGTAAGGGGTGATGTTGGGTGCCAAAAAGGATTTTAAAACTAGTGGTGAAGAAGGGACTCGGACCGACCTAAACGGCAGAAGGGTAACGTTAACGTCCATCACATCTGTTACAGAGGCCGAGGTTGGAGCTCAAAACACGCAACACACAGCGGCCAAAGTACTCGGGCCTCCAAAGTATCAGCCCATACACACATCTGTACCCCAAACGATTACTACCACCACCCGGGTTAATCTCAGAGACTCCCGTCCATTAACCCCGAAACAGATACTCCATCCTTTAGCCCCAAACAAAACCCGAACCATAAACAGCATTCACTGACAAACACCACCCTCCAGTTCGCAATCACTGAGCCCTACAGAGAGTAAACGGCAAAGACCCGAACACGTGCCCTCGCGACTAAATCGCTGACTTCTAGGGACCTTTAACCACTAACCACAAGAGAATCTCATGACTGAAGCCAGAAGTACCCCAACCACACATACACTGTTACCCACCCTTTAGGGCTCCCCTGGAAAAGAACACCCATTCACGCTGTCCTCCCGCTTGTATTCCACACGCATCACCCAACGCGGACGCTGACAGGCCCGCCCTCCCTCCCCACTGTACACGAAGAGACCCTGGGACGATCGCGACCCATCCACGGCTGAACTTACTTCGCGGAACTTCGTCGCCTCCCTCATCACCGCGGTACGGTGGCCAACGAGGGTCTAAGACGTTTCTGCCGCAAAAAGACACCTGAATTTCCGACTTCTCTTCAGAGGTAACTTGGCCGCGCCCTCTAGCGTGGCCTCGTGGGCGCGGCCATGTTTGGGCAGCGGGCGTCTGAAGAGCGAAGAGCCTCGTTTTGCGCTCGTGCGCGGGGAAGACAGAATGTCACCGAAACGGTCACTTTTGAACCCTTAATAAAAACGGACATATGCGCATAAGCTCGAGCTTGCACCAAACAAGAAAGGTATGGGGGTAAATCCCTTTCTGCGAGCTGGCAAGAAAATTAAAATGGCAGTGACATTGATCCGCTTTGTACGAAAGTTAGGAAACGGCCTAGTGGGCGCAACCATCTTACAGGAAGTGGAGGAATCCGTACAGCACACCTCGCGTTTGGGAAAAGGCGAACCGTCCGGTAGAGGATGTCTGGGCCAAGTTTCTAGAGAAATTGGCCTGAAGGGACTTTTGAACGGCACAGGGCTTGGAGAAGCTCTGACGTTACAGGGATGGCGGCCATAGGTTAGGAAATAAAAGCTGGAACGTGCTAAAGCTGTTCGTATGTATGGGGGAAAGACCACTGACGGCGGGCCCAATGTGAAGAGCGGTACCTATGACAGAGGGGGGAAGCTTTCCCTTTGGGGTCCAAAGACAAAGGCAGGGCTCAGAAGACCAAGGGTCAAAAATTAGGGAAATATGACTTCAAGGAGAATAAAGGGTTTGTAAAAAAAAGAGTAATCGTTACACTACGTGAGTCAGTTGCAAATAGCGTTACAAAGTCATAGTAATGTAACCGTAACTGTGGTTCCAACTAAACCCGTTGGAAGAATGGAGGAAAAGGAACGGAAGTGCCGTGTGTGTGTGTGTGTGTGTGTGTGATATCGACATGAGTGTATTGAAACAGAAATGTCTAAACTACTCCAGACTCAAGGGATCATTTTACATTCCCACCATCGATATATGAGATCCACTTTCTCTGATTCCTCACTAGGATTTGTTTAAAGAGATTTTAACAGGAATAAGAAAAAGATGACCAACCTAAAAATTTTTTTTCTTTTTAAATATTTTTAAATTTTTGGCTGCATTGGGTCTTCGTTGCTGCACGCAGGCTTTCTTCTACTTGTGGCGAGTGAGGGCTGCTCTTCATTGCGGTGCGCGGGCTTCTCATTGCAGTGGCTCCTCTTGTTGCGAAGCACAGGCTCTAGGCGTGCGGACTTCAGTAGTTGCCGCGCGTGGGCTTGGTAGCTGTGGCTGGCGAGCTCTAGAGCGCAGCCTCAGTAGCTGTGGCGCATGGGATCTTCCAGGACCAGGGCTTGAACCCATGTGCCCTGCATTGGCAGGCGGATTCTTAACCACTGTGCCACTGGGGAAGCCCAGGCCAACTTAACAATTTTAATAGCTAAATAATATACTGGTCACTTATTTTTTAAAATTGCAATACTTAATTTTTAAAAGGCCAGTCTTACTAATATTCAAATTCATGAAGAGTGAATGATGAATAATATTCATTCTATTGGATTTCATCTCTCATCTCTACAGTAGATAAGAGGTGTCCACCACATACAGCTTTGAATGAATTGATATTATCAAGCTTGTCATAGTTCTAGTTCAAAAAATGCACACCAATAAATTTTAGGTGCTAGACGTTTGGTATGTTTTTTAGGGGGGCAGGATTGAGTCTAAAGTATAAAAATTAAGAAAATGTTTTTGGAGTACAACTTGCAATTACCCAATTTAAACTTTTGTCTTAGAGCCACCAATTTTAAGAATTGAAATTCAGTAGAAATTATTTTTGTGAGAACAAACATGTACAAGGATATTCATGGCATCAATTTTGACAATTTTAAGGAAATAAATAATCTTGTGATTGTTACAAAAACTTATTGTTGCATCTTGCATTCACACCTCTGGATAGTGCTCCTGCACAGTAACTGTGACCAATGTGTCCAATGGGATAATAGCAAGCTTGACACCGAGGACAGAAATAGACTTGCCCACTGAGGCGTGTTCTGTTTGCCTCTTGGAGCTCTTCTGACACGTTGTAATACAGCCCAGGTTAGCCTTGGGATGAGAGACTATGTGAAAAGTGGCCTCAACCATTCCAGGGGAGGCTCAGATACATCAAAAAAGCCACCTAGATCATGTAGCCCCCAGTCAGGACAGCACACACCAGACAGTCCAACCGTCAACCCACATAACAATTAAATTTATTATAATTAATGTTTGTTGTCTTTAGACATTAAGTTTTAGAGAGGTAGGTTTGTAATGCAGTCAAAGGTAACTAATACCAATATGAATGTACATTAGTAGGTGATGGGTTAAATAAATCATGGGATGTCTCTTCATGAACACTATGCAGACATAAAAAGAATGAAGACTGTTATTGGTACAGCTACTATGAAAAACAGTATACAGGTTCCTAAAAAAATTAAAAATAGAAGTACCATATGATTCAGCAAGTCTACTACTGGGTATATGTATCCAGAAAAAAAAGAAAACTCTAATTTTTTTTTTGGAAAACTCTAATTTTAAAAGATAAAGTGCATCCCAAATGTTCACAGCAGCACTATTTACAGTAGCCATGACATGGAAAGCCTAAATGTCTATTGACAGATGAATGGATAAAGAAAACGTGGTATTTATGCAATGGAATATTATCCAACCATAAAAAGAAGGAAATCTTGCCATTTGCGACATTGAGGGCATTTTGCTAAGTGAAATACGTCAGGCCAAGAAAGATGAATATTGTATGATCTCTCTTATTTGTAGAATCCAGAACCCCCCAAACTTGTAGATAATAAAGAACAGATTGTGGTTGCCAGAGGCTGGAAGGGGGTGGGACGGTGGAAATGGTGAAGGTGGTCAAAAGGTACAAATTTCCAGTTATAAGTCCAAAAATGATGATGATAATGATAATAACAATAACAGCGTTGTTAGCCATGAGGGAAGTGCAGGTTAAGCTCAAGATCAGATATGACCACAAACCTAACAGAATGAGTAATCTAAGATAGGACAATACCAAGTGCTGGTGAGGATGAAGAGCAATTGAATCTTTCATCTATTGCTAGTAGAGTGGCTAAAATAAAACATACTGAAAATACCAAGTGCTGGAGAGGATGTGGAACAAGTGGATTTCATACACTGCTGGTGAGAATGTCGAATGGTATAGCCACTCTGGAAGAGAGTTTGGTAGTTCCTTTTAAAGCTAAACACAACTTACCATATGTCCTAATAAGCACACACCTGAATATTTATTATAGATGAAAATTTATGTTCACACAAAACCCCGGATGCCGATTTACAGCATCTTTACCTATAACAGTTGAAACCAGGAAACAAAACAAACTTCTCTGAAGAGTGAACTGATAAACTAATACATCCAGTATGTATACTACTCACTAATAAAAATAAAACAATACAACTCAAATAAGTCTTAATGGCAATTTGCTGAGGGACAAAAAAAAAAAAAACCCAAAGCTTACATGTTTCTCATTAATAAGAAATTGTAAATTTGTATAAATAAATACAACTTTATATAAAATCCAGTTATGAAATTATTTTGATAACATTCATAAATGACAAAATTATATTGATGGAAAACAGATAAGTGGTTGCCAGAGGTAGGTTTGGATAGAGGATGTGAGCATAAAAAGGTAGCATGAGGGTGTCTGTGTTGATAAAACAATTGTACGTCCTGGGGATGATGGTTACAATGAAATCTGTATATGTAATAAAGCACCTTAGAATTACAAAAAAATGATTAAAAAATTCATGTAAAATCCAGTGAAATCTAAACTCCAAAGGTTAGGAGTTAACAGTATACTACCAATGTCATTTTCCTGGGTTCAATAATAAAATATGGTTACATAAAATGTTTTTACTGGAAGAAGTTGCAGAAAGGATACTAGGGAAGTCTCTGGACTACTTTTGCATTTTCTTATAAGTTAAAATGGTTTCAAATTATAAATTTTATAAAAATAACTTTGAAGGTGGTTTTGTAAACTATTTGGTCATATTTATAAACTTAGTTAAGCAAGTGCAAGTACGTGTTCATATTCAGTTTCCTTTTAAAGAAGTTCAGTGTGCTAAATTTACAATTATGTTTATAGCCGAAGAAAAGTAAGAGCTAATCACATATGAGGGTAGGCATAGAACACTCTTGCATCGTATATAACAATAAAAATCAGTGATGAGAAAAGCAGACTTCTTTTTAAAACTATGGAATTACTGACAAGTCCAGAAAGGAGATTCAGGTGCATTATCTGATATATGATGAGGTTAGATTTGTAACAAAAAGCACTCAAACATTTATCATTTTCACAGAACTTCATTCCTTTTTAAGTCCTCTGATATTTAACTAAAGATGCTCTACCTTTAGCATGTTCATAAAGATTTTAATTTCTATATGATTTCCTGACAAATGATGAGGCAGAATGTATCACTGAAATCCTGCCATATATACTATCCTCTTAAAAGTTTTTCTCCAGTGTGAACTCTGACACTCATTGAGGTCTTCTTTCTGGGGAAAGACATTCCCATGGTCATCATATCTCCTTCTTTTTTTAAAAAAAATCATATTTCTATGAACAATGAGCTCACTGATGATCAATGAAGATCCCTGATAAGAAAGTCTGTCTTCCCACTGAAGACTTTCCTAGTCTCTGCATTCACAGAATTTGTCAGAGAATATAGAGTATATACTTTTCAGACATATAATGAAGTCAGAAAGTTTTGCCCAAGGCTTCTCCACACTGAATGTATCAGAGTTTTTCCAACATGTTTTCATTGACAGAAAATGTGAGGTAAGGATCACTAAAGGCACTACCACATTCACTATATTCACCAGGTTTATCTCCTGTGAAAATCCTTTCATCTCCTCAGGGCACACATCTGATAACAGGCAGTACTGTTCTGCTCTGATAGAAACACTGGTGTTTAAACAAAGTCTTAGCTGCCACAGAAGGCATTTCCCCAGTCACTGCATTAACGGGGCTCTTGTTCAATCGTAAGTAATGAGCTGTGACTCTCTGTTAAAGGAATTTCCAACTTGACCGAATCTACTCATTTCTCTTATGTGCATTTTCTTATGTTTAACAAGGTTTGACAAGTGGGAGAAGGCTTTCTCACAATCACTGCATCCATATGGTCTTTCTCCTGTGTGAGTTCTTTGATGTACATTGAGTACTGACTTCGTGGTGAAGGCTTTTCCACATTCATTGCACTCATAGGGTTTCTCTCCTGTGTGAATTCTCTGATGGGTAATGAGACCATACTTGTGGGAATAGGATTTTCCACACTCAGTACATACAAAGGGCGTCTTTCCTGTATGACACCTCTCATGTTGTATGAGGCATATCTTCTGGCTGAAGGCTTTACCACACTCATTGCATTCATAGGGTTTCTCTCCCGTGTGAGTTCGCTGATGTATAACAAGAGTGCGCTTTGTGGTGAAGCCTTTCCCGCATTCGTTACATAGGTAAGATTTCTCTCCCGTGTGAGTTCGCTGATGTATAATGAGAGTGCGTTTCACAGTGAAGCCTTTCCCACATTCACTGCATATGTAAGATTTCTCCCCTGTATGAGATCGCTGATGTACGATGAGATTACTCTTCACGGTGAAGCCTTTCCCACATTCACTGCACAAATATGGTTTCTCTCCAGTATGAGTTCGCTGGTGTACAACAAGATAGCGCTTCATGGTGAAGCCTTTCGCACACTCACTGCATACATAGGGTTTCTCCCCTGTGTGAGTGCGCTGATGCACAATGAGATTGCTCTTCACAGTGAAGCCTTTTCCACATTCACTGCACACATAAGGTTTCTCTCCACTGTGAGTTCGCTGATGTGCAATCAGATAGCGCCTCACTGTGAAGCCTTTTCCACACTCACTGCACATATAGGTTTTCTCTCCTGTTTGGGTTTGCTGATGTACAGTGGGACTGCTCTTCACAGTAGAGACTTTTCTGCATCCACTGGTTAAATGGGGTTTGTCTCGTGTTTGAGGTTTCTGATGTTTAGTGAACATGACATTTCTGGAGAAGGATTTCTCACACAGATCACACTGATGGAGTTTGTCTCCTATATGAATGCTCTCCTGAGAAATAAGCTGAGATTTCCTGATGGATGTTTTCTCACTTTCAACGCAGGCCTGGGATTCCTCTATTTTGTGAGTCCTCTGATGCTTAAGGACTTGGAACTTAGCAATGATGTGTTTTATACTTTCAGGAAATTCAATTCCAGAATACAACTGTTCACGATCACCAGGTAGAAAGAATTTCTTATCTCCATTAAACTCCACAGGGTTCCTTATTTCATATCTTCTCTTCTGGTTAACTAAACATAAGCTTGATTTCCAAGCTTTTTTACATAAGTCAAACGTATGATTTTGTGTTAGGGCTAAACGAGTTTTGCTCAGATGAACACTATTTCTAAATGCATTCTGTTCACTGCATTGTTGCAGGCTCTTTGGAAATCTTTGGTCTTGAGAGTGCTCTGGCAGATGACTGTCAACTTTCCTGATTCCTAGGAAAAATGGAATGAAAGTGCTTAAAAGATGATATATAGTGGGGGGACTGGATCTTTATTGTCTACCATATGATCCCAGTACAAAATTATAAAGATGTAAGAGGAAATAAATATCAGATCCAAGAAGAGACAAGGAATATATTTAAAGCTAAATACTCACAAAGAAAGAGTGCTCATCTGGGGAGATGAATATGTGGAGCAGCTCTTGTGGGGGCCTCAGTAACCCTCACAGTTGTAACTCCTTCTCTCAATGACTAGAATATGACCTCCCTGACCACTCCCCTTGCTGGTTCTCCCTCACTCACCTGGACGGGTTCTATTCTGGATTTTGTTTTCTATTATGCATGGTTCTTTTCCATGTTCCAACTTGGAGAGTGTATCTGGTTTGGTAGCTTGATACCCTGTTCATGAGAAATGATAGAAGACTTAGATACAGGGACTGGGGTACAGTATGTCAAGATGGGAAAATACTGCATTTTAGAGACAAAATTTCTTGTATGCAAAGTAAAAGTTCTCCTTCAGCACACAGGAGATTATATACTTTTGTTTGGGGCCAGACAGTGGACTGAAAATCTAACTCTTTGGAAGACCACAGTGACTGCAAAGCTTTCATCAGGTGATGGAGAAAAGGCCAGTGACTGGGCACCTCTAAGTGACACAGGGAGCTGTTCTTACCCAGTGACAACAAATTGTTAAAATTCTCCAACATCACATCCCGGTATAGGTCTTTCTGGGCAGCATCCAGGAGCTGCCACTCCTCCCAGTTAAACTCCACAGCCACATCCTCCAGAGTCAGCAATTCCTGTAATAACAGAGTCCAGTTTAATATGATGGGAATTTTTTTTATCAATATGGAAGAAGCATGAGAGAAGTTGTTCTAATTTTCACTGTATAGCCTTCATCTATATACTTTTCTCAAATACATTTCAGTAGAAGAAAAATCCTATCTTTCTATCTATATATTTTAGCACCTATTTCCATTTGCATACTAAAAATATGCAAATGATATCAGGACAAATAAAGTATTCCTACATTACCATGAACAGCCAATATGAGAATCAACCATGAACAGCCTCCAAATCCAGAATTTAGAAGAGTGTTTTTAATAAATGTAAAAAAAACCCCAGAAACTATACAAGATACATCCACAGCAAAAAAAAAAAAAAAGACCATTAAAGTTGATTAGGAAGATTTGAAAACAAAAACAAAGAGAAAATATAGTAATGGAGGAGCAGTATCCAAAGATCTAAAGGTGAAAATTTCAAGACTGATTAAACACTCTGAACTTCAGACTCAGGAATCCCAACAAATTCCAAGCATGAAGTCTATACATAGGCACATCAGACTAAAACTATAATACACAAAATATGAAGGGAAACTATAAAAGCATCCAGAGACAAAAGACAGATTACCTACAACAGAAACAACAGAACTCAGGAAAAAAAAGGAATATTATCTTCAAAGTTCTGATTTTTGTGCCAGAAAGGTCAGACATGAAGGTCACTTGGTATTGAAACACATGACTCTCATCATGGAGTCCTGGACAGCATTATCTTCTCCCAGCCACATTGTGTGACAGTCCTCAGGAGTACTGCCAATCAAGGAAGCTCGCCTGAACTTCAGTGTCCAGAGATTTTATTGAAGCTTCATTATATATGCATAATTTATTGAATCGCTGACCACATGGCTGAATGCAGATCCTTCCCCCTTCCTGGAGGCTAGACTGGTTACATATGGCTGAAAGCCGCAAGCCTCTAATCAGATGGTTGGTCTTTTTGGCATGGACAGCCCTCATCTTGAGTTATCTCATTAGCACAAATCATCTAGGGCCCACATGAGTCATCTCATAACATAAACTATAAAGTGTGGTCCCAGTTGTCCAAGATGAAAAACAAAGACACTCTTATCACATGGGTAATTCCAAGGGTTTAGCGGTTACCTCCCAGGAATCAGAGATAAAAGTCAGCCAAATTCCTTATTACATACTAGGTATTCATACCCCTGTGAGGTACCCTTCCCTTGAGCATGGGCTGAATTGTTTCTAAAAAAGAAAAAAGAATAGAGCAAAAGTGATGAGATACCCCTTTTAAATTAGGCTATATACGATTTCCAGCTTGCTAATAGAATCTGTCCTTTGATGACTTTGATGAAACAAGATGGCATGTTAGGGGGGCCCACATGACAAGGAACTCAGTGGTCTTACATGAGCAGACAGGTAGAAACTGAGGATCTCATTTGAGTTCTGGAAATGAATTCTGCCAACAACCATGTAAGTGAGCTTAGAAGTGCATCCTTCCCCACTTGAGCCTTCAGATCAGACCCCACCCCAGGGCTTACACCTTGATTGCAGCCACACGATAGACTGTGAAACAAAGTACTCAGCAATGATATGATACAAAAATAAACATTTGGTCTTTGTCCCTGGTTCCTGGTACCCTAACTCCTAAAACACTTAGAATCTCCACACTGATAAGTGTTTTTTGTATGCTAATGACATGACAGGGAGGGGGAGGGCACCCAGACAGCTTCAGGATGGGGGCTGGTTGCTAGAGGAACAAACCATGTGATAAAACCTCCTGAGAGGGGAGAAGGGCTGGATACTGAGTTCAATCACCAATGGCCAATGATTTAATCAATCATGCCTAAGTAATGAAACCTTCAAAAAAAACCCAAAACTACAGGTTTGGCAAGTTTCCAAGTTGGTGAACACACTGAGGTACTGGAAGGGTGACACACCCCCATACCTTGCTCTATGCGTCTCTTCCATTTGACTGTTCCTGAGTTGTATCATGTAAATGTAAGTAAATAAATCTGTAAATTAAGAAAAGTGGTTTCCTGAGTTCTGTGAGTTTTTGAGCAAATTATCAAACCTGAGGAAGGGATTGTGGCCACTCTGAAGCAATACAGATACAATTTCACAAAAAGCCATTAACAAGAATGTTTAATGTCACATGGTTTGTAATAACAAGAATATCTAAATATTCATCAGCACGTGAATTATTAAATTATCACACATATATAATTTGGTGTTCATTGCATCACGTAAAAAAGAAGAAAGCTGGCCTGTAGACACCAAAATGTAAAGAATTCCAGTACACTGAAAACAGGCTGGAGGATGTCATAAAAATGACAATGGTGGCTCACCCTGCAGAGGTGGTTCATATATGAGTGTAATTCATGGTCAAGGAATATTGATCTGTTATCTGTGAAGCTTGAATTATTTCACACTGAATCTATTTCTTAAACTCAGAGTGAATCTCCACCACTGTTCCCCAAAACATAGGTTTGATTATGTTACTTCATCATTTCAAACGTCAAATATTTGATTTCTATCAAACTCCAATGTTTTTTTGTTCAGTTTTATTGAGAAATAATTGACATATATCACTGTATAAGTTTTAGATGTATACCATGATGGTATGATTTACATATATTGCAAAATGACTACCACAATAGGTTCAACTAACACCCATTTCTCTCATGTAGATACAATAAAAATAAAAGAAAAAAAGGAAAAAGATTTTCTCCCTGTGATGAGAACTCTTAGGATTTACTCTTAACAACTTTCCTATATATCATATAGCAGTGTTAGCTATAGTCACCATGTTGTACATTACATCCCTAGTACTTATTTATCTTGTAACTGGCTTTTTTGAGTATGACTATAAACTCATGGAATTTTATATAGCTATATAGGTAATGTTCTTCAGTCAGCTGCACTCTTCTTTCTTTTAGATGCTCAACTGGTACCAGGCCAGTGGTACTCTGGCTAATGGGGAGCCCCTAAGAGTTATCGATGTTGTTAGGAGTATCATTCCATTCACCTAAGTGACATAAACCATTGAATCCCTCAAGAAGCTGGTCTGCTTTTTCCTCAGTCAACACATACCACGGAGCTTTTCGTGTTTCTCTGGTTGTGACGTCTGCCAGAGATAATGCAAAGTGACAGTGATGTAACCCACAGGGCCCACCACAGTCACACATTATCTTCCAATATTAGTCACTTGATGTGACCCCTATGAACGATATATTCCTGAACCCACTTTGTCCTGATTTTGAATTCAGAGTCTAAGTTAATTTCTCCCCAGAACCCCATTATCCCCAATTTATACTTCTTTTAGTTGAACTGATTTTTTTTCAGGTCACCACAAATCCATTAGACAACAAAAGAAAGATATAACAAACCAAAAATCACCTGGACCTTGATCATCTTCTTCTATGCTCAGGAAATAGTGAGTAACATGGCTTCTGTCTTTTGTTTCTTCTGCATCTGCCACGTAATTCTTAGAGACAGAAATCTTGGTGTCCAGTTAAAGATGTCCGCAGAAATGATGATATCCAACTCTAAGAATCTCCTCTTTCTCCCCTCATTTCTTCACTTGATCACTCATTCTCCTGGGGAGCCAGGACCTGTGGGCTGAAGAGCAAATTGACTTTGAGTGTACATTCCCTCTGGGCCTAGATGCTGTCACTTATCCTTAAATAAGGGACCCCAACATTTCCAACTGTTCCTTTATTTGGTGCCCCAGAGGCGTTCATACTCTGGAGCGATAAAACAAGGTTTTGAATGTGTGAAATGTATGTCTTTCTTTTGTGAAGAGGAAATGGCATAACTATTAAAGGGAAGGAGGGAAAGCAGAACCAGCAGAACATGATGTCACGGGTGAAAGCTCAAGCAGATCAAGTTTACAGAAGAGGCCACATGGAAGTTTCCAAGGATATGGACATTGTGCCTTTAAAAAGTATGTGTGCCCAGTTACCAATTCAAAAGTATATGCTCAGTAGGTACACACACTGCAGCTTTTTTTTTCTTTAAGTATTATTTTTAATAAAGTTTTTTTTAATGTGGACCATTTTCTTTAAAGACTTTATTGAATTTTTTACAATATTGTTTCTTCTTTTTTAAAAAAATTAATTAATTTATTTATTAATTTTTAGCCGCGTTGGGCCTTTGTTGCTGTGCGAGGGCTTTCTCTAGTTGCGGCGAGCAGGGGCTACTCTCCGTTGCAGTGTGCGGGCTTCTCATTGCGGTGGCTTCTCTTGTTGCGGAGCACGGGCTCTGGGCGTGTGGGCTTCAGGAGTTGTGGCTCGCGGGCTCTAGAGCATAGGCTCACTGGTTGTGGCACACAGGCTTAGTTGCTCCACAGCATGTAGGATATTCCCAGACCAGGGATCGAACCCTTGCGCCCTGCGTTGGCAGGCAGATTCTTAACCACTGCACCACCGGTGAAGCCCCTGCTTCCGTTTTTATGTTTTGGTTTTTTGGCCACGAGGCATGTGGGATCCTAGCTCCCCAACCAGGGATCAAACCAGCACCCCCCTCATTGGAAGGCAAAGTCCCAACCACTGGACAGCCAGGGAAGCCCTGACACCTCACTTTGAAGACGACCGTACTAAGCAAATCATTAAGATTGTCTATTTCTCTTTGTATATGAAAGAATTAATCTTGCCCAACAGAGGTTTGGCTTTGCCCTCAGTTCCTGAGAGGGAACATATAAGCCCTTGGAATGCCCCACCCGATAAGAACGGCTTTGCTTACCTGGGAGGCTTGGGCCATACAAGATAGTCTATGCTAACGAGGTAATTTACGGTGAGGGCCCTTGGACCACATGGTATCAGCTTGACCTCTAGAGGGGCCGGAGACTAAGTTCAGCCAATCATGTCTATGTTCACTGAGCCCCAGTAAAAACTCTGGACACTAAGAGTTAGGTGAGCTCTCCCTGGTTGGCAATAATGACAAAACAAAAACAAAACCAGCAAGGATATAGCAGACTTGAACAATATAATCAATCAACTTAA